AAAAAGAAACAAATTGTTGGAAGAGAAAGCAAACTTGGTTGAAAGGGTAAATCTAAAAGCAGGAGCTTAGGGGGAATAAAAACCATTAATTTAAAAGAAGAAAGAAAGGTGCCTGGGGGGCTCAGTTGGTGGAGCACGCAACTCTTGATCTCAGGGTGACGACTTTGAGCCCCATGTTGGACGTAGAGGTTAACTTAAAAAAAAAAAATTAGAAGTAGGGCCCCCTGGGTGGCTCAGTTGGTTAAGCCTCTGCCTTCAGCTCAGGTCATGATCCCAGGGTCCTGGAATCGAGCCCCACATTGGGCTCCATACTTGGTGGGGATCCTGCTTCTCCCTCTGCCCACTGCTCCCCCTGCTTGTTCTCTCTCTCAAATAAAATCTTTTGAAAAAATTTTTAATAAAAATTAAAAATAATTTAAAAAGAAACAGTCCAGAGGTTATTGAGGAAGACACAGCAAAGACCATCGATTGGTCCAATGCTACTTAAACAATTCTGTGCCACAGCAAAAGAATGAAATCTCCAATTTATGGAAAGTTTTTGTGGTTCCATGAATAGAAAAACCTGATAAAGACTGTAAAAACCGGGCACCTGGGTGGCTCAGTGGGTTAAGCCGCTGCCTTCAGCTCAGGTCATGATCTCAGGGTCCTGGGATCGAGTCCCACATTGGGTTCTCTGCTCCACAGAGATCCTGCTTCCCTCTCTCTCTCTCTGCCTGCCTCTCCATCTACTTGTGATCTCTCTCTGTCAAATAAATAAATACAATATTTAAAAAAAAAAAAAAGACTGTAAAAACCCAGAAGCTAAATTAACTTACGTAGATGCAAAACTCTCAAAATGGTATCAGAATGCACCGAAGAATCAGAAGAAGATTAACACTGTACGCAAAGGTTTATTCCTGGATTACAAAGTCTGTTTAGTAGAGAATCTATCAACATAATTCATTACATTAACAAATTAAGGAAGAAAAGTATGATCATATCAACAGATGCTGAAAGGAATTTGATTAAATTTCAGCATCCACTCCTTTAAAAAAAATCTTAATTAAAAATAGTAGTGGGGGTGTGCCTGGATGGCTCAGAGGGTTAAAGCCTCTGCCTTGGGCTCAGGTCATGATCCCAGGGTCCTGGAATCGAGCCCTGTATCAGGCTCTCTGGTCAGCAGAGAGCCTGCTTCCTCCTCTCTGCCTGCCTCTGCCTACTTGTGATCTCTGTCTGTCCAATAAATAAATAAAATCTTTAAAAAAAAATAGTAGTGGGATACCAGGAGGTATTATTATAATAGTTAAACACTAAAGTAATTTCAGTTAAGATAAAGAACAATGCAGGGTTGCCTACTGACAATGTTAAAACATGTTCAAGAGGATCAAAAAAAAAAAAAAAAACAGCATTGGTGAAATCTCTCTTTCCCGTTCTGATCGTACGATTATATACCCCAAAACTCAAGAGACCAGGGTAGAGAATTGTTGGGATTAAAAGTAGATGGACAGGGGCACCTGGGTGGCTCAGTGGGTTAAGCCTCTGCCTTCGGCTCAAGTCATGATCCCAGGGTCCTGGGATCAAACCCCACGTAGGGCTCCCTGCTCGGCAGGAAGCCTGCTTCTCCCTCTCACATTCCCCCTGCTTGTGTCCCCTCTCTTGCTGTGACTCTGTCAAGTAAATAAATAAAATCTTTAAATATATATATATTTTTATCTTATCAAAAATTACCGCTGAGTGGGGCGTCTGGCTGGCTCAGTCATTGGAGCAGGCGACTCTTGATCTCGGGGGTCATGAGTTCGAGCCCCATGTTGGATGTAGAGATTAGATTCTTAGTAATTAAAGAGATAAATAACTTTTTTAAAGGGGGCGGGAACACCTGGCTGACTGTTGGAAGGGAATGCGACTCTTTTTTTTTTTAAGATTTTATTTATTTATTTGAGGGAGAATGAGTGAGAGAGAGCATGAGAGAGGAGAAGGTCAGAGGGAGAAGCAGACTCCCCAAGGAGCTGGGAGCCCGATGCGGCGCTCGATCCCAGGACCCTGAGATCATGACCTGAGCCGAAGGCAGAGGCTTTAACCCACTGAGCCACCCAGGCGCCCCGGGAATGCGACTCTTGATCTCAGGGTCATGAATTTGAAACCCATGTTGGGGGTAGAGATTACTAAAAAAAAATAAGCAATGGAGGAAAATCCAGTCTCCTTGCTAGACTTCAGAAAACACTAACACTGTTGAAATCAAACCAACATGGCTTGTTGTGTGCAATCATAGACAAGTACCAAACCCAAAATCAAATCTCCGGTACACAGGGATGTCTCTTATCCAGCTAAGGTTGGCATTTCAACTCAATGGGAATCAATTACAGATTTTTTCAAAATATTTTTTAAAAGATTTTATTTATTTATTTGACAGAGAGAGAGAGAGAGAGATCACAAGTAGGCAGAGAGAGGAGCAAGCAGGCTCCCCACTGAGCAGAAAGCTCGATGCAGGGCTCGATCCCAGGACTCCGAGATCATGACCTGAGCCGAAGGCAGAGGCTTAACCCACTGAGCCACCCAGGCACCCTTAAAAAATAATTCTTTTGTTGAGTAAACTACGCCCAACCTGGGGCTCAAGCTCGCCACCCCGAGATCAGGAGCCCCGTGCCCTACCGACTGAGCCAGCCAGGCGCCCTCGATTTTTTAAAAATAAAGTGAAACTGACAAAACTAGAAAAAGAAGATTGGACTCCCAGTTTACACACACACACACACACACACACATCAGAGGGATTAAAGTGAATGTAGAAGTTTAAATGTATTGGAAATCCTGCCCCCACTGAAAAAAAGGCTAGAAAATATGAGAAGATTCTAGTGACCGGAAACCCAGAAACCACAAAAGAGCCAAGCATGTTGGACCACCTGAAGACCTAACGCTTCTTAATAGAGAGCCAAATTAATGGCTTGGGGGAATTTGTGCAATGTAGAAAACACTTTGTATCTATAGCTATCACGGAACTTGAACAGATTAACAAGGGAAGAACAACCCAACAGACAAAAGATTACACAGCCGTCTAAAATATATATATTAATTGGAGCTCTACCAAGTGAAATAGTGGCACAAGAAATTTATTGAGTGAAAAAAGTGGAATGCACGAACATACCTAACATGATGCAATTTTGCACAACTGTGCAAAACCAGCGCCAGACCCCAGCGATCCTGGTGCGTAGGACACATTCGTGATAAAATGGTGTGTATATAAAAAAAAAATTGTGTGTATATGTGTCTGTGTAATAAAGGTAGTTTTCATGGCAAATATTAACCTGGAGACCGACAAAAACAAACCCCAAGAAAAGTAAAAATTGGCTCCAGACCCATCCCCATAGGTCACAATAAACACTATTATACGGACCCGCCCATCCTTTTCTCTACAGTTACCTGTATACACGCTTATGCAAAATTAGGATCATAACGGTTCATACGGTTATGAGATCTGTTTCTTCGGGTCAGCTTCTCTCATGTCCCTGGGCGTTTGCTGATGCTATGTTCTCTTCCCCAAACACCCCATCCTTTAAGCCTCTAAGAAACCTGCCATCGGAGGCCCCCCAATAGAAGGCGGTTGGCCCCCCTGGATTTTGTCGTCGCTGGCTTTGTCCCCTTTCTGGAAGCACGTTTGTGTAGGTCTACCTGGTAGGAGAGTGTCTCGTGGGCTCCTCACCTCTCATGTTAAACTGGGGAGCTCCCTGGGAGTGGGAACTCTGCCTCTTTCATCAGTGTGTCCTCACATTGCCCAGAACGCATACAGTAGGCACATCATAAGTATCGTCGCTGTACAGCAGGGTGTAGGCTTCCTGCCCCTCTTGTGTGGAGCGATCTCAGACGGTGCAGGTGAAGGGGTGATCTGGTGACTTGGACACCGGACGGTGAGGCCAGAGCTGGGAAGGAGGCCTGGGCAAGCCCCAAGGGACCCCCACCCAGCACCCCCACTCCCTTTCCCAGAGCTCCTCCGAAGGTTCGGCAAGAAACAAGCCTGCACGCAGGGCTCCGTGTAGGATATATATTTATATACAGAATGCTCTCTTTTTATTGTACTTTATCCTCTTTTTACAGTAGATCTGACACAGGCATTGTATAAATGCAGAGAGACCGTGGGAGCGAGGGCAATGCAGGAGGACATGGGGACCCGAAGGGAAGAGACTCCGATCCAGCAAGAGGGGAAGCAGGGAAGGGTCTGTCTGGGGATGGGGTGTAGGAGCGGCAGTGTCAGAAAAGAGACGGACAGTTAGAGAGGGTGGAGACGAAGGGCGCTATCGCTGGACAATGCCAGAGGCCCCTCGTGGGGCATTCTATGGGCGCTATGGGTCGTTTAAAAACGCCAAGGGGTCTGGAGGAGACAGGGGCCGAGACATTCAGAGCCTAGACTGAGTGGCTGTTTGCAACCTTCGGGTTGACATGCGGAGGAGAGGGAGGGAGTTAGGGACGAGCTGCTAACGTGCTAAGAGAGACTGGAGAGAGGCCGGTGGGGGCAGCTCGGGCCCAGAGGGGAAGGAGGTGAAACAGTCCCATAGCCAGCTGGCGTTTCCAAGGTGGCCACTGGGGACCCGGCCAAAACGGCTGCCCCTCCCCCAGGGCTCCGGGGAAGTGGAACTTGAAGGATATTCTGGGAAAACAAACAGGGAGAAGTGAGCCATCAGCCAAAACAAAGTGGACGTTCAGCCTAGGTCAACCCCATCCCTCTGGGGGCGTGCCTCTTTGGGTGACAGGAAGAGAATTTTCAAGAAGAACCAACAGGGACTCCTCTTCCAGACCCTGGTTCCCAGCGCACGCCGTCACCAGAGGGTGGGAAGACAAATGTGCCAGAAAACACGGGAAAGGCCACTGAGCCACCTCGTCCTGGATGACAAACAGTTGTCTTTCAGAGGAGGGAAAGGGGGTGGAGAGGAGGTGGGGACAGGCCACAGGGGGAGCCAGATACGTCAAAAGCCAATAAGGCAGGGACTGTGTGGATGAGGCAGGAGGCGTGGGAGACACAGAGAAAGGGGGAATGGAGTGTCTGGAGCTGAACAGAGATGCGCGTGTGTATGTCTGTGTGTGTAAGAGGAGGATGAGTGCGAAGGCAGGTGTGAAAGTGGGCAGGTGTGAAGGTGGGCAGAAAGGCATCTTCTATAGTTCTCTGGGGACAGGAGGGGTGGAGACACCCTACTCACAGCTAAAACAGAACCAGAACAGCTCCTAAGTCCTCTGGGGCCGTCCCGGGATCCCGTCTCCCTGCCTCTGACAGAGCTGGAGTCGGGAGAGGAAGGGCGGGGACAGGAGGCCAGGAATCACAAATGGCCATCACCAGGTGGGGTTCACAAGTAAAGAAAAAGGGAGTGGGGCTCAAACAAGTCATAGCTCTGTTATAAAAAATACCTTTGGGGCGGGTGAGGGAGGGATCAGGCAGGGTCGGGGACATTCCAGAAGCATCCATAGGAAAGAGGTGGGGGCAGGAGGAAGGGGCCTCAGGTTTTGTTGACACGGAGCTTGAAGGCCACGCGGCCGGCGAACTTGTCCCGCTCGTCATCCGTGGCGATGTTGGCGGCATTGACCCGGCATTCCACGTTCACCTCCACGTTGGGGGTCACGTTCAGGAACTTGACGGCCACCAGGGGCTGCGTGTAGTTCACCTGGGCCAGAGGAGGAGAGCGAAGGTCCAGGACAGCCGTGACTCAGCCTCCTCCCCAAGAACCACCCCTCATCGCTCCCTTAGGGGTGCCGCAAGTCCAGGCCTCCCACCAGGACTTACATGGAACTTTTTGCCATAGTAGGGGAAGTACATGAGGTCGATGTTGCCATTGGCAGGAAACATGACAAAGTTGCCAAGATTCTCAGCATCTTCATCACGCTGTGGGGGCACAGGAGTGGGGGGGAGCATGTTAGGGGTGCTGGGAACCCAAGAGCGCTCCAGGCTTCCCTCTGCTCTTCCTTCAGCCCAAATAATTTCTGTCTCTGATCAGTCTCCCTTGGGCTGTGAGCCCGTGTGTGTGTGTGTGTGTGTGTGTGTGTGTGTGTGTGTGTGTGTGCGCCTCCTCCATCAGACTGGGAAGTCCTGAAGGGCGCTCATGATCCGGACGTCCCCCACTGCACTCCCACACCACATTCTTTTTTTTTTTTTTTTTTTAAGATTTTATTTATTTGTCAGAGAGAGAGAGTACACACAAGCAGGCAGAGAGGCAGGCAGAGAGAGAGGAGAAAGCAGGCTCCCTGCCGAGCCAGGAGCCCGATGCGGGACTCGATCCCAGGACCCCACGATCATGACCTGAGCTGAAGGCAGCGGCTTAACCAACTGAGCCACCCAGGCGTCCCCCACACCACATTCTTACCCCAGTCTCAGGAATCGGTTTCTGGAGCAGAGCCAAGAGAGAATAGACACATGAGTTAAGGGCTCAGTAGGCAGGGGAGGGGGCTGTGGTGGGAGTGAAGAGGACAGAAAGCTTCTAGAGACGACAGAGGTGGGGTCCGAGGACGCTGAGTCACGGTAGGTAGGGCTAACTACCAGACGCCTAGAAGTACTGAGGAAGGAACAGCGAGCTCCAGGAGGGAGAGCGGAAGTCACGGTCATCAGGAACTAGATGAGAAGGTGGGGGTTAGGGACAGAAGCCAGGGGTGGAGGCTTGGGTGGAGTCAGATGGTGGGGCTCCTGCATCCTAAAGAGAAGCGGTGGGGGGAGAGCCCCTGGGGAGTTTGAGCCACATGGGGACTCACTCTTACCCCCTTGTGACGGGGCCTCTGACAGCAAAGAAGATAGGGAGAGATCCATGAATTACATGGAAACCACGAAGGGCACACAGGTGGGCAGCTGGGCAAGGCCAGAAAAACTCACCTTCCCCACACAGGTGACATTCATGCTCTGATTGGCTCCTGCGTAGAAGTTGATGACCTGGAGGGAGGAGAGAGGTATGAGCTTGGCCAAGACACACGTATCCAGCCTTCCCTCCCCACGTCTCAGCCTCCCACAGCCCCATCTTTCTTGCTCTCCCGGCCACTCAAACATCCCCAAATCTCTCTAATGCCCAGGATCCCCAGTGAAAGGAAGCATCTGCCAGCGGAGGGTGGCCCCATCCCCCTCCTTCTGCCTTCTCCCCAGTGACCAAGGTCACACATACCCGGTTCATCTTGATGAAGACACAGGGCTGACCAGTGCTGTAACCGTAGTGGGTTGGGTCCCCGATGCCAGAGCAATCCCCCAGCTGGGTTCGGTTGAACTGACAGGCACGCTTCGGGTAGTTGAGAACCCCATTATCCGGCTGTTCATAGTAGCGCCCCGGGCGGCAGACATCGTTCTTTTGGGCTTGGATGGAATCATTGTAAGCTAAGGTGGCGGAAGAGAGAGGGTCATGGGCCCCATGTTCTGCCTCCTGGGTCCTCCAATGCCCTGTCCGAGCTCCCGCACCGCCACACTCACGCTCCAAGAACTTGTTGAGCTTCTGAACGTGCTGGTCCCAGCTCTCGGAGTCACTGACGTTGACAACGACATCAAGATTCTCGGTCTTGGGGCGAATCATCAAGCCTACAGCCCACCAGGGCAGGAGTGGAGAATACATATTTACGAGGAGGGACCACACACAGAGGGAAGAAGGTAGACACAGGGAGCAGCAGGGGGAGGGATGGTGGGATGAAGACGAGAGATCGGCTGCATAGGAGGAAGATCTCCTGGGAACATAGGGCAACTTTCCAGGTCACAAAGCTCTCAGCTGCAGGAAACGGGAAGAAAGGCAGACTTCAAGCACTCCTGAGTGCTCGGCTCACCAGAACCAAGCCTCTGCGAACTGTGAGTTCTTACCAGGCTGTAAGGTCTTTTTTGGAGGTTTGGGGGGCACAGAGCCGGTTAATGGCTGGTGGGAAGCGTGCACCACTCACCTGGCGTGGCCAGTCGGTCCTGGTACTTGGGGGTATGGTCAGAGACCGTCTGCAGCATGACCCACATGGTAAGGGTGAACATCGCCGTGAGGAAGCCATAGAAGACGAGGTAGAAGAGGAGGATAAAGGCTAGGGAGGAGGAAACGGGGTCAGCAGGTTCAAGGCTCCCGGGATGACCTCGCCTATCCCCCACACACCCGTCTCCCTCTCCGAGGTTCAGCACGGGCACAGGTCACAGAGTCTTGGGGACATCTTTGAGCCTTCCCTTGGGAGCAAAATGAGACAAGCTAGAAACAGGCAGTTGCATCTGGTTTCCAGCCATGGCTCCCAGCCCCCTCCGGTCCTAGGGCGCAGTGAAGCCCAACCTTGCTGAGGCCACAAGAGACCTAAATTCTCGTTACTGGGACAACCCCAAGTATAGGCCACAGTCATTCTGCATCCAATTACGCTTCCAACTTCTCGACCATTCATGGCCCTGAAAAGGCGCCACGTCTGTGACTGCTACATGGGTCCTCATGCTTAAAGCTGTTCATCCAGAAAAAGGACTTTTTAAGCCGACTCTGGCCGCCATTCACACCTAAACTCTCAGCCCATCCTTCAGACTGCAGACCCTCACCCTCAAACAGCAGAGACCCTGCACACAGCTCCTGCCTACCCACGACATCTCTCAGCTGTGCAGAACCTTCAACAGTCACACCAGCCCCAATTCACGCACAGCCCCCAAGCCAGAGGCGGAGAGGAAAGATGGACCGTCCCAGAGCCTTCCTGGCACAGAGCAGGTGCTTGGTGGATGCGACAAGAACTCCATCACTCTTCCGCCTAGGGTGAGTGTTTGCTGTTGCTACCACTCAGGACCCCCAATCCTTCCATCTCAGAAGACTCGTTCCCTATGAGGTTTCTCCAGATTTCCCCCAAGCAGTCAGGGACCCCTCCAATCCCAGGGGCCCGGCTTGCAGAACCCCCAAGGCAAGGATTACCTGGACCCGTCTCCAGGGCCCCAGGGCGGGGAGGGGGGGTGGGGGGTGGCACTGATGGGAATAGTATGCAATCAGTGTGGATGAATTGCAAATTGTGTCACCCAGGGTCCCCAAGTCAAGGCTTCGCTTGGACTTCCCAGCCTCACAATCCCTTTTGGAAGAATGCCGGCCACCCCCTGCACTCAAGCCAAGCACCAGATCCCCCAACTACACACCTCGAGTCCTGCTATGGGTTGGGAAGATCCCAAGGAACCCCAGCCCCACAGACACGTTCTGCCCGATGATGTACGCCTCTCACCACCACTAGCATCCACTCCTCCCTCCGCCTGCGACATCTGAGCCGAATATCCAATCTCCAAAACCTCCTAGGGCCACCCCTCCTCAACAGCCCCCCACCCACAAAGCAGCACAGAAAAGCTCCAAACGTTCAGCAGTGGGATACTGACAACTTCCGCTGTGAAGAACCCCCCCCCACTCCCCACCTCTCCAAGACCCGCCCCCTCATGAATGTTCCCAGGGTCCAGGGGATGGGCACGAGCTAAAAATAGACGGGCTTGGCTAGCTAGTGAGAGCCAGAGGGAGGGAAGGGGCGCTCTTCTGCGGAAGGGGGGGCGACCGTGCGGAGCTGACCTGCCCCGGGAGGGAGCGCGAGCGCCACGGCGCGGACACGCGCGCACGGCCCGCGACCCCCCGCGCGAGGGGGCTCCGCGGGGGGCGGGAAGGCGGCAGTGACCTACTTTCTCCGCCTCCGCAGCGGCCGGCCGGGGAGATTAGACCGGCGATTCAGCCCCCTCCCAGGCCGGAGCCCGGCAGGGGGGCCGGACGCCGGGGGACCCGGGAAGGGAGCTGGGGCCAAGCCGGAGGGACCCGGTGCCCCCTGGGCGTCGCCCGGAGGACCCCCGCCCCGCCCCTCGTGCGGCCCGCCCTGCGTACCCCAACTGGTGCCGGTGCGGCCCATGAACTGGTGCGTCCTCGGGTTCCACACGAACTCCTTCCACTCCTCAACCACCTGCCCGCAGCTCTTCTTCTCCTTCTGGATGACCATCTTGGCGGCGGGGGGCGAGTCCCGCGCTGGTCGGGGGGCTGCGGAGAAGCTGGGGTGCGGCGCGCAGAAGCGCCCCCACGCTCCGGAACGCGCGGGGAGCAAAGGCAGCGGGGGCGAGGGAGACCCTCCTCAGATAGGCAGCTGCTGCTAATTCCGGGGCGCACGGCCACGCGCTGCGGAGTGCTGGCAGCGCGGCGTAGGATGCACGGATCCTAGGCCCCCCCAGCTGCGATGAAAAGGGGGACTGTCAGATCAGAGGAGGATAGAAAGGGGAAGGGGTGCGGTGCAGCTTCCCCCCCAAAAAAAACCTTCTAGAATCAAAATGAAAAGGGATGCAAAACCAGACGGCTGCAAAACCCGAGCGAAACGCAGAAAAAATAGGGGTGCAAGGAGGCCGGGGAGGGTGGGGGAGGGGGCTGCCCCGAAATCCGAGATGCAAAGAGGCTATGGAGAGGGGCCGGGTGACCGCTCAAGGCTCTTCCGCCAAGCAGAGACCGCCACACCAGTGGTGGCGCGGCCGCGGGGGGTGGGGCAGGGACGCGCAATTGGGGGACAGCCAGGGATGGGGGCCCCCCCAGGCGGAGGCTCCGCTCCTCAGCAGTGCGGGGCCGGCGGTCGCGGCGCGCGGTCTTTATACTCGGCGGCTGTGGGGGTGTCCGCCCCCTTCCCACCCCCAGAAGCCCCGCCTCCTCGCCGCTGGCCCGGGCGACCTCATACATATGCAAATATGGAGAGAGGGATTGGGTCCGCCCCCCTGCCGCCTCTTCGGGACCGGGAGGTCTCTCCCCTCCCCCCATCCCAGGTACTGGACCGGATCAGGTGGATGGAGGGGATGGAGGGCGTGTCGCGGCGGAGTGGAGGGAACTACAACCCCAGAGAGGCGTAGGGCGGGAGAGGGAAGCCGATCTGTGCTGAGAAGGGGCCCCAGGCCGGCCGTTCGAGACTGAGATCCAGAGACCGACAGGGCCAAATGTGAGAGGAATAGAGAAAGAGTCAGAGACCAGGACCGACAGTAGGCACCAGCCAGGGTGTTAGACCAGGCCACACAGAGATGGACAGAGGTCACCGCAGGAGGAAAATCCCCTTTGGGGAGCAGCTACCGCCACCCCCCATACCTCCTTCACAAGTTCCACAGCCCCTGGTCTTCTCCAAGCCCAGAAGCTTCCCCACGTCCCCACCCACTCTCTAGGCAAAGTCTTTCCGGACACCACATTCCTGGCCCCTAGCACTGCCCTGAGATCCCAGCCCTAGATCCAGATCTGCTCGGGTGTCGTGTCCCCCCCCACCCCCATGTCTGAAGTCCCCCTTCCCCACTTACCCATTTGGGTTGGCAAACATTTATTAAGTACCTACAAGAGACCTTATGCAACTCTAGCCCTGGGGAAGCAAAGTCACAGTTCACCCGGGGTTCAAGAGACCCACAGACTAGAAGGGGGTACGGGAGCCTCTACAGACCTCAACTTAAGAATCATTATCTGTCACTTTTTATCTCTCTTCAAATTTTGTCACTTTCCCTTGGAGAGGTGTTTCTGCTTTCAACTCTCACTCAACATCCTTGGCTCTAGCCCTCCACAACGCCTCTCCCGACTGTCAGCCTCCCCCTCGAACGCTCTCCCCGGAGCCCAGCTTCATGGACTTGGGATCTGCTCAAACAGGGCTGGTGCCCAGAAGAGCCTTTTGCTCTGCTGTCAGTATCCTGTAACTCTTCCTAATTTTATCTTTGAAGTTGTAATTTGCAAGACAAGCCCAATGGGATAATGGAGTGTGTTGTGCCCAGAGGAGATAAGGTAAGCGTGTTATACATACACCTGCACCACTCCGGGGGCCGATCGCTGAGAGGCCACACTTTACGTTCCAAGCCGACCTTGCTTGGAACACAGAAAGAAGGCGATGGCGTTCTAGAAGACATGGGTGATGGAGGCATGGTATTCTAACCCTTCTCGGTCGTGCTAGCTACTTCCTGACTCAGTCAAGCTCTTCAGCTGGAAAGAATGACATGGAAGGAAGGGGAGCACTTTCAGTCTTTCTATGCTCGTCAGAAAGCTGAAAGTAGAAAAAGGGTAGTTTTTCTTTATTTCAAACAACATTAAATAGCAAAAGCCCCTGAGAACTCGAGGACAGAATGTCAAAAAGAAAGGAAAACATTTTCTCTTTCAGTGCCTTGAATGGAACTTTTCCCCCTGCTTTTTGAACAGGGGATCCCACATCTCTGTCCTGCAAATTATACAGCTGGTTCTGCCTTGGTGCCTTCTGCAGCAGGCTCTGGATTCATTTTCTCAAGATACAGTTTTAATTAGGCCACTCCTCAGCTCAAAGGTCTTCAATGGCTTCCTGTCAGCCTGCAAGACGGAGCCCTGATTCTTTTGTGTCTCCTTTGGGGCCTTCCACAATCTAGACCCAGCCTGTGTCCCCAGCCTCCTTTCCCACTAGGACCAATGCGTCGTCCCCTGGAGCGGAGCCGGCCACTCCCAGGACAGGCTGTGCTTCCTTCTGACTCCACACCTTTGTCCATTTCATTCCCGCATCCTGGCCGTCTGCCCGCCCTTCCGAGCCCAGCCCAACCTCCCATTCATTCATTCGATGCACGCAGCTAACGAGCATTAACTTAGGGCCAGGCTCTGTTCTGGTCCCTGTGCTCCCAGGACTCCCGTTCCGACAAATAATAAAAACCAGCAAAGAAATAAAATAATGCATTATAATATTATGCAGGAAAAATACAACAGGGTGATGTTCCAGACAGCCCCTGGATGGTCCAGGAGGACCTTAATGAAGGGTGTAAGGGTCAGTGTGGGACCCGAGTAACCCAAAGGGAGCCACGGGGACCTGTGGGAGAAGACTCTTCCTTCCAGGAGGATGGAAGTGTAGTGCGAAAGCTGGCCTTCGATGAGGGAAGACAAGATAAGTACAGCAAAAGATCCCAGAGGGAGGTAAGAACCAGATCATACAGGTCTAGGACATAGTTTGGTTTAATCCAACCATCACAGAAGTAATTCTAGGGTTTGTTTGGTTGGTTGGTTAAGATTTTATTTACAGGGGTGCCTGGGTGGCTCAGTGGGTTAAGCCTCTACCTTCAGCTCAGGTCATGATCTCAGGGTCCTGGGATCGAGCCCCACATCGGACTCCCTGCTCAGCGGGGAGCCTGCTTCCCTCTCTCTCTGCCTGCCTGTCTGCCTACTTGTGATCTCAAATACAGAGAGAGAGAGAGACAGAGAGTGTGAGTGAGAGAAGAGTGAGCAGTAGTGGGGAGCAGGAAGGGCAGCGGGAGAGGGAGAAGCAAGCCTCCCGCCGAACTGGGAGCCCGATGCAGGGCTCCATGTGGGACTCAGTCCCAGGACTCTGGGAACATGACCTGAGCCAAAGGCAGATGCCTAACTGACAGAGCCACCCAGGCGCCCCTAATTCTAGGGTTTTAAGCAGGGAGCGACCTGATGAGATTTCGTGAAAATCACCACGGCTACTGAGTGGAGAATGGACCACGGGAAGCAAGGAGACCAGTGGGGCAGGCTTCGCAGGAGTCCCTACAGGAGACATGGATGTCCTAGATGAGGGAAGCGGGTTTGCAGGTGGAGACAAGAGGAAAGGTTCGGGATCTACATTGGAAGGACCATTGCAGGAACCATGGGGTGACAGAAAGAGAACAATCAAGTCCAGTGCCTGGGTTTTTGACTGGAGTAACTGGGCTGACAGCTCTCCTGATGTATTTTACCTTTTCTTTTCTTTTTTTTTTTAAAGATTTTATTTATTTATTTTACACACAGAGAGAGAAATCACAAGTAGGCAGAGAGGCAAGCAGAGAGAGGGGGAAGCAGGCTCTCTGCTGAGCAGAGAGCCCGATGCAGGGCTCGATCCCAGGACTCTGGGATCATGACCTGAGCCGAAGGCGGAGGCTTTAACCCACTGAGCCACCCAGGCGCCCTGTAATTTACCTTTTCTAATCAGACTCCGAGCATTTAGAGAACAGACCTTTTGCCTTCGACTTCATATATATGTCCTCCGACACCCAAGCAACACACAGAGCTATGGAAGATAAAAGTCTGGTTGCTGAATTGTGCTTCAGCATGGAATGGCTCCTTCTAGAAACCACAGGTGAGGTCACTTGCTCTTTCTTTCATCAGGCAAGGAGCATCGAAATGATCCAGGTGCCATCGGAGAGATGAGGCCTGGTTGCTACCCTCAGCCCGCATGGCCTGGGGATAGGCTCCAGACCTCTGGCTCTGTTTCTGTCCTGTACACGGGCTCCCTCAGAAAAGAATGAACGCCTTCTGTGCATTTTGGGGTGAGGCCAAAGGCACCTGTGGTACTTATGGATGTTCTTCTTCTCCTCTAGGTGCGGTCAGCATAAATGTGGGCAGGAGGGAGTGTGCTACCAAATGCAGCATTAGTATTCACAGGGTAATACGATAAGGAAGGGAGGGGGTGTCAAAAAGCCGCTACAAGGGGCGCCTGCGTGGCTCAGTGGGTTAAAGCCTCTGCCTTCGGCTCAGATCATGATCTCAGGGTCCTGGGATCAAGCCCCGCATCGGGCTCTCTGCTCAGCCGGGAGCCTGCTTCTGCCCCTCTCTCTCCACCTGCCTCTCTGCCTGCATGTGATCTCTGTCTGTCAAATAGATAAATAAATAAAATCTTAAAAAAAAAAAAAAAAAGCCGCTACAAACCTCCAGCCTCTTCCTGGAACCCAGTCATCTCCAGAAAGGAGGAAATGAGTAAGACCTCCCACACCCCCTGTCCCAAATCCAGCGGCCGTCGTGAGGTCTGTGCCCCTTGATTCTCCTCTCACCTCCCAAATCCCACGGATTCAGCTATCTCGTTCCCAACAAGACAGGTCTTTGCAGAGACAAGAATAAAGAAGGAGAACTCCGGGGCGCCTGGGTGGCTCAGTTGGTTGAGCGACCGCCTTGGGCTCAGGTCATGATCCCGGCTTCCAGGATCGAGTCCTGCATCGGGCTCCCAGCTCCTTGGGGAGTCTGCTTCTCCCTCTGACCTTCTCCTCTCTCATGCTCTCTCTCACTCATTCTCTTTCAAATAAATAAATACAATCTTAAAAAAATAAATTAAATAAATAAATAAATAAATAAATAAATAAATAAAAAGAAAAAGAACTCCAGCACACAGATATGGGGATGGGGGTGGGCACTATTATTGAACGGGCACAGAGTTTCAGTTTTGCAAGATGAACAGTTCTGAAGATGGATGGTGGCGATGGGTGCCCCACAGTAGAAACTTAAACGCCATGGAGCGATAAAAACAGTTAAGATGGTAAAGTTCAGTCAACCAGAGTCAAATTCAAAAAATTTTTTTAGAAGACAGTCGATTGTGGGGCACCTGTGTGAGCGTCTGACTCTTGCCTTCATCTCAGGTCATGATCTCAGGGTCATGAGATCGAGCCCCACGTCGGGCTCTGCACTCAGCTCAGAGTCTCCTTGTTTCTCTCTCTCCCTCACCCTACCCCCTGCCGAGCTCACACTCGCACGCTCTCTCTCTCTCTCAAATAAATAAAATTAATCTTCTTTTCTTAAGATGGTTAATTGCATGTTATGCCACAACTGGGGGAAAAAAAAAGGAGAGAAACACAGATGTTCTGCCACTGACCACTGACCAGACCACAGCCCACACACACACACACCCCCCCAGCCCAGCTCCTCAGCAGCACATACAAGGCCTCTCACCCTGCGGCCCAAGGAGCCTCCTCAGCCAGCCCTCATCCCATCTCAGCCCAGCCCTGCACGCCCTTCCTCGTCTTTTATACCCTCAAGGTCAGACATTGATTTCAAGAACTATGCATGAGGTTCACGATGGCCAAGGAAGCAACATCTCTCATATACTGACCGCTTCCTCTAGGTCAAGCTCAGGGCCGGGAATCTGGACTCCGAGGTTCATGAGATCTTCACAGCAAGCCTAGGAGTAGAGGGACTTTCCTCTTTTGGAGATGGGGATCGTGTAAAGTCAAGAGACTGATGCGTTTGTTCCAAGTTCAAACGTTCGGTAGTTCCCCTCGCAGCCAGTTTCCCTGGCACCTCATAGAGGTCTCTGTTCAAGAACTTCACTGGTCTGCCTACTTCTCTCCCAAGACTCTGGTTCTCCAGGATGAGGAGTGAGACTTAGTCATCTTGGGGGTCCCTGTGGACTACCTGACATAGCTTGGCATATGGTTGATAGCCAGTATTCAAGGCTTAAAAGAAGGAAAAGGAGAGGGAGGGAGAAGGCGAAGGTGGGAGGGAAGAGACAGACAGCACCCAGGGCGGGGTGAGTGGACAGACCAGGCCTGGAGGCTGCAGGGTATGCTGCCAAGCTCTGGAAAGGTCTGTAGGGGTGTGGGAGAGCCAGGGGGCACTGGGCAGGCACTGGAGGTGCCCTTGGTGGGGCAGCCTATGTGTCAAAGCAAAGTCAGTCTTAATGAAAGAGTGTAGACAGCTCTGGACGGTAATCAGGAATCCCGAAATCTAGGGCAGACTGGAGAAAGAGAGGTTGGGGGGTGCGGACTCCCGGACGGGGTGGGGTGCAGGGAGGAGGGAAAAGCCAGCTCCTAGGACAATCCTTGGAGACAAGAGTTTAGGAGGCTCAGAACCACCCTTCGATGGGGACCCAGGTGTGTTCGGGGTCCTTTAACCCTCCCCACTGGCTCCCATCTGGGGCCCCCACGTGACTGGTTTCTTTTCATTATTCAGGTCTTTGCTCAAGTGACACTGCCTTAGAGAGGCCGTTCCTGACCACCCGGCCAGTGCTGCCTGTCTACTCCTGTCCTCTCTTACGTTACAGGATCTTATTCCCTTTACAGCACTAACCACTATCTGAAATGATCTCGCTTACTTGTTTTTCTTCTTCATGGGCTCTCGGCCCCTGCCACCATACCGTGAGCTCCATAAGAACAGGGACGGTGGGGGCGCCTGGGTGGTGCCATCGGTTTCCTTAAGCCTCTGCCTCTTGGTTTTGGCTGGGGTCCGTGATCTCAGGGTCATGGGATCGAGCCCATGTCGGGCTCCATGCTGAGTGGGAGTCTGCTAGGGTTTCTGTCTCCCTCTGCCTCTGCCATTCCCTACCTCATGCTCCTTTTCTCTGTTTCTCAAATAAATAAATAAATCTAAAAAAAAAAAAAGAACAGGGATTGTGTCTGTCTTTTTCATCAATGCGTCCTCAGTGCCTAGAACCATGCCTGATACACAGTAGGTGCTCAGTAAACACCACCTGAATGGACACATCCGATGGCCCAGGGGACTGGAGCTGAATCTGGGCTTCCTGGCCCTGCTCAGACCTCTCCAGAACACTCCACCTGCTGGAGGCAGCTGTAGACCCTCAAAGTCAAGACTGGGAGGGTCCAAGGAGAAGCCTGGGCTTTGTGACTTCCATCCCCACAGGATCTCCCGGAGCCTCCTTACCCTGGGGTCACTTAGGTCCTCGCTGATCCCTGCAGAAGGAGACAGTGGTCCAATGAGTGACTCACCCTGTTGCCCGGGTGACTGGTAGGAAAATCATTTTAAGGAGCTAAGAGGCTGGGATCCCCATGGGTTCTGGAGATGGGGGATGGGTGATCAGCTCTAGAGAGGGGATGAGGATTGAGAGGTGGGGGGGGATGGAGCTCCAGGGCTCTCTAGGGGGCTGGGGGTTCTGGGCTTGAAGGTTTCCCAGGAAGCTAGGGGCTGAAATGGGAGGGTGCCCTGGGTAGGGGCTGGGACACCAGCACTCTGCAGAGGTCTGGGGGCTGATGACAGAGTTGTTCCGGGATCTGTTTTTTCCAGCTGGGACCAGCATAAACCAGCTCTTGTTTAATGGAGTAAGAGACGAATTCGTCGGGGAATGCAGCAAGTGGACCAAGACTGGGAGAGATGCAGGCTGCTTCTCCCTGGGTGCCACTCTTTTTTTATTTCCTCCCTGCTGTTTCTGCCCCTTTTCCCAGAACGCTGCCCCCCTGTCTCTACAGCTCTCTCACACCCCCTGCTGCTTTTTCCTTGCACAGCAGTGGCCCATCGCAGGGAGGACAGAATTCCCTTGCTCCCCTCCCCTCTGGACCCCGACCTCCCACGCGGGGTCCACGCGGGGTCCACGCGGGGTCCACATGGGGGGACGGGAGAGTGGAACTTCCACAGGGAGTAAATGCTGGGAAAGAAAATTATCTGTATGTAGTGTGTGTGTGTGTGTGTGTGTGTGTGTGTGTGTGTGTGTGTGTGTCCTGGTGCTGCTGTTAATCTCAGCTGGAGAAACCACAGCTCTCAGGAAGCTTGCCTTGACCCCCGACTAGATTAAGGTCTCTCCAAGCTCCCTTTATGGAGCTTACTGGTTTCCAGTCATCCACTTACTTGCAAGTCTTTGCTGGATGCCTGCCTCCCACGGGGGGCCGTGAGCACCAAGAAGCCAGGAAGCAGGATGTCCTTTCCTCATCAGTACAACCTGCTGTGCAGCAGGGCGCCTGGTACATTGCAGAGGCACCGTGAACCGTGGTCGAGTAATAAATGAGAGACGTTCAAGGGGATTCTTAGGTGGGGATTTAATGGGTGGTGTCGGTGCCATTGTTTGGGCCCTGGGGACAGCTGTGGGTCCAGATGTCCTCACTTCTGCTCAGGGCCTGGTCCATGTCCAGCTTCTGGCCTTGGGCCCAAAGGCCATTCAAGCAAAAGGAGGCAGAAGAGGTCTCTCCTACACAGAGGGGGCCCAGAGGGCGCATTAGGGCAACTTGGAACCACTGGCTGCCCCCCACTTTCCCAGCTCTCTGACTTAACTTTTTTAAAGCACTTCTTCCTGCTGCCCCTTATCCCTTCTCTTCTTGTGGCCTTTCTTTTCCATTTCCAGAGGTTTCCTTCCCCTAGGAACACAAGCCTGCCCGTCTTGTTCTCTCCCTCTACCTATTTCCAGTGGTGTGCCGAGCAACGCGAATGTCCCCGTCTTACCTGGCAGAGCCCCCAGGAAGAGGCGCCCCTGCGGCCGGACCCAGAGCTTGAGGAGGGAGGCCAAGTCCAAGTCAGGCAGAGCAAGGATCTCCTTCTTAGACCCCTGGTTCAAGACCGCCCCGGACGCAGCCAGCTTCAGCTGAAGAGGGAGTCCCAAGACCAGGGGCAGATCCAGGTCGGGCCTTGTCCCAGAGGACACCACCACCTTCTGCAGAGTGTGCGGGACAGGGTTTGGGGGGGTTGGGGGGTTGGAAAAAATGAACAACATCTACTCCCTGGGGCCCTGTCCTTTATTGCCTCAATTTTCCCAGCTTGATATTCATAAACCACACCTCTCCCAAGTCAATACAGTCTAGATAAAAGCCATTTGTGGGGGTGCCCAGCTGGCTGACCTGGCAGAGCTTGAGACTCCGGATCTCGGGGTTGTGAGTTCGAGCCCCATGTTGGGTATAGAGATTCCTTAACCATAAGATCGAATTAATAAGTAAATAAAATGTTGCTTGCTGTGGGCAGCTTCAAGATGTGTCTCTGCCCCCCGCGCCCCTGCACCTTAAGTGTTCTTAACATACAGTTTGGAATCCCCCTTTCCCTCCCGCCTCCACCCGCTGCTCCCCGGCTCCGCCGAATATAGCCAGCACCCCTCTTACTTGATCTTGGAGGTGGAGGCTGAGCTGAGAAGGGTTTTCTGGGGTCCCAAGGGCAAGGAGGTGGCCAGAGCCTGCTGCCTGCTGGAGTCCCAGGTCCAGAGAGAAGGCCCAGGGCTCTGCATGAGGCTGGGGAATGTCTGGGTGGTGGCGGCGGGGGGCGGGGAGAGAAGAGATCCCCGTGAGGACTCAAGCCTGGGGGCTCACAGACGGAGGCACCCAGGGCTGGAAGGAGACGGGGGAAGGCAGACACAGAGCTAGCTGCGCAGGGAAGAGCAGCCTTTACCTTGGAGATTGAATTCTGCACGGGTCCCTGGAGGGAAGAACGTTCCAGGTTGGGACTGCAAGGCACAGCTCTTGAGGCTCCTCGTAGGGACAGACCCCGAGGTCTGGGCCTGCGGGTCCAGCCAGGTACTCCGGCGTAGGCAGCCGTCCAGGGCAGGGACCAGCTGGAGCCAGTGGAGGGAAGGGAAAAAGCGGGGATGTAGTCATCAAGACATCGGAGCCCCTGTCCGCCCTCAGTTGATTCCCCTCCGTGACACAAGTTCTTGGCTTCTCCCACGCAGCTAACGTGCCACCAGCTCTTGTGAAAAGTGTGGCCTTGGGCTCCCACGGTCACCCAACCAGCCACACTCTAACAAGCTTGGGTCAGCCCCCAGCCCTGCGATGTCCTTACTGGCAAACGGAGGCTGGAGGCAGGGAACAGGAGTCCCCCCAGGGCAATCCTGATGATGGGCTGGGGTTTGCTGGCCAGAGACCCAGACACCTGTCTCAGGCGCAGCACCTCCTCCCCATCCACGCTCAGGAGGAGGGAGTCCTCCAGGACCCTCACTTCCACCTGCAGGGAGGAAGGAGCAGAACCCAATCAGAGGCCGCTGGGGCCTGCCTCTGCCCCCTTCTTCCCAAGCAGCCACGTATCACAGAAATAACATGGACTCGTGGAGTCCGCTAGCATCCTTGGTTCACTCTGGCCCATGAGCCTCAGGACGGCCCTCCAGAAAACTGGGGACAGGCACAGTGAGGCCGTGTGCGGATTGAATAAGGCGATGGTGGGAAGGGGATGCCCGAAAACTCCTTTGTGTTGCATTTCTGTGGACCAGCTCGGGACACGCCTCCCCTCAGGACCGGAGCCAGCTTACCTGGTGCCACCTGCCATCGTCCAGCCGTGGCCCAGCACTCACAGTCACCTGCGCCAGCTGATTGTGCAGCTGGATCTCGGACCTGCCATCTCGAAGTGCCAGCACAAACCAGTCATCCTCTGGGTTAGTGTCGCCATAAAAAATCACTCCCTCTGGATCCCAGGTTTGAAGCTCAAAGGAGGAAAAGCTTCTGGAAGGACAGAGAAGGAAAGGCTGTGCATGTGGCATGCCCTCTGGGTGTAAAAGTGGGGAGGGGGAGGCTGAGGGACAGGGAGGGAGATAGGAGAAGGAGAAGATCCGAGAGAGGGAAGGTAGGGTCGGGGACTCCAACAAGGGGCTGGGTCAACTTCATACTTCCTGATCTTGGTGAAGTCAAAAGTCATGATGGTGATAGGCTCTTGTCCTGAGCCACTGCTGAGGTGCACAGCAGGGGAGTCCTGGATCCTCTGTCAGCAGGAGAAGAACAAACAAGGTACAGTGAGGATTGGCCAGAGATGGACGGAGAGGCAGGGCAGCAGGGAGGGGAGGAAGGCAGGAGCAGAAGCCAAAGTGTAGGTTGCTTAAACACGCGCGTGTGCACGGAGCACCCCATCCCAAGACTCCTGCACCTGGGCGGAGAGACCATGTCTCAGGGCCCGTCCCTGGTGGCCGGGACGTGGTAGCAGCAGCAGCAGCAGCGACAGCCACCCGGGAGATGTGGCCAGCAGGCCTCTGCCCTCCATGGTCAGCTACAGTCCTCTCCGTGGCTCAGGGAACTCTAGGGAGAATGTGTGGGGGCAGACAGCCTTTCTGTAGTTGGTGTTGGGTTAAAGGTTGCTAGGGGGACGAAGGTGGGCAGGAGACCGGACACTGACCCTGTGGCCCCTCTGACCCCTCTGATGACAACTTGGGGGAGGGACCGAGTTTCTCCACTACACTCCCCCTGCCAGGATTGTTTATGAGCTAGAACAGTATACCCCTCTTCCCTTCTCCTCCTCTAGAGCCTGACCTGGCCCCTTGAAATCTTCTGCCCCCTCTGGGGAGGATGCCTCTACCCCCCCCCCCCTGAGGTTCCTGCACCCGGAGAAGCATCCTCTGTCAGAACTACAGCCGAGGGGCGTCTGGGTGGCTCGGTGGGTCAAGCGTCTGCCTTGGGCTCCCAGGGTCCTGGGATCGAGCCCCACTTCAGCTCCCTGCTCAGCCGGGGGCCTGCTTCTCCCTCTGCCTCTGCCCCTCCACCCCACACGCTCGCTCTCTCTCAAATAAATAAGATCCTTAAAGAGAGAGAGAGAGAGAGACAGAGGACTACAGCTGAGACTTCCACTACCAAACATCCAGCTGGGTGGGTCTGGCTGAGTCACACCACCATGATGCTTGCTAGTGTCCTTGTTCTTAAAACGTGAAAAGTAGTATCTGCTTTACGGGGTTCACTGGAAGGAGGATTCATTGCGATGACGCAGGCTCTGAGCTCCTCCCTCAGTGTCTTCCCAGGCCTCTGAGGGAGGTTCTGTCCCTGAGTGTGATTTAGTGGCATCTACCAACAGAAGCGCATCGCCCTCTCCCTATCCCGTTTTGAAATTCCAGAGCGCCCGAGAGAGGGGACACCTAGAGCCATTCGAGACCCCTAGGAGACAGCTCAGAGCTGGGGGGTTTCAGGAATCACCCAGCGTCGCAGGGCCCTCGGGTGGGTGAGCGAGAGCGACGAGAATGACCGAAAATCACTGCACACTTCACTTCGGGAATGCCGGGGGAGGTGACTTAGGGAAGACCGGGGGAGGTGACTTTTGAACTGCCGGGTTTCACCCACAGAGGCTGGGACACCCAGGCGACAACAGGGAGGCGGCGGGCAGTCCAGTCTTGACCCCTGCCCGGGGCCCGGTCACGGGGCTGACGGTGGGGGGCAGGGCTAGGGCCTCGGGGCGGGTCTGCTCTGCCAGCTGATTGGCTGGCGAGATGCGTCCCGGGCGGGTGCAGGGGTGCGGCGCGGAGAGGCGCCCCCTCGCGCCCACCACTCCCGCGGCCTGGCCCGCCGCGCCCGGCTCCCCGCTGTCCCGGCCCGGCGCGTAGGCCCTTTCGAACCCCCCGCAACCCCGTCGGACCAGAGGGGAGGGTCCCGGACTTCAGTCCCAGCTCGCGGGGTCCAGATGGCTTCCGTGCGGATCCGAGAGGCGGAGGAGGGAGACTGTGGACAGATCCTGAGGCTGATTCGGGTGACGGCTGCGGGCCGGGAACCCGGGGCCCCCGAGGGGGTGCGGGCGGCGCGGCCGGGGGAGGGGTGCGGCGCGGGGAGTCGGGGGCCCCTGCCCTGATCTGGCCTCTGTCCCCGCGCCGCAGGAACTGGCCGAGTACGAGAAACTCTCCGACCAGGTGCAGATCAGCGAAGAAGGTGGGGGCCCAAGCTGGGGAGGAGTGGGGAGGGGTCCGCCAGGCCGGAGCTCCGGGCCGGGCGGGCGCACACCCAGGCCCTTACGTCTCTCTGCCGCACCCCCACCTCCGCAGCGCTGAGAGCGGATGGCTTCGGAGAGAAACCTCTGTACCGCTGTTTGGTGGCAGACCTTCCTCCCGCCCCCGGGGACGCGCAGGGTAAGAGCAGCCGGGCCTGCGAGGGTCCCCCGCCCCGGCGTTCGCAGAGGTCGGTCCCTGGCGCCCAGTGCCCTCCTCTGTCTCCATACCAGGGCCGCGCGTGGTGGGGTACGGGCTGTATTACTTCATCTACAGCACGTGGAAGGGGCGCACCGTTTATCTGGAAGACATCTACGTGACCCCGGAATATCGGGGTACCGGAGTGGGGCCGGGCGGGGGGTGGGGGGGGGGGGGAAGCCAGCCAGACCCAGCACCCATCCTCTGCCCCCTAACCCCAGCCTCACGCCCTCCTCTGAGTGCCTGCAACGGAAACAACCCCTCCTCCTCCCCCACCCCCACTCCCGCCCCCTTTTTGTTTTCTCTTTTTCTTTTTTTACCCCCCACAACAGGTCAGGGGATTGGCTCCACAATAATCAGAAGGGTGGCGCAGGTGAGGAGAGGGATGGGGGGGCCTCCAGGTTAGCCCTGGAAAAGCAAGCACGGGTGGGAGGCACAGGGGTCACCACGCAGGGTGAGAAAGCCTTTTCCTTTTGGGAAGGGAAAGTCAGCGACGTCTTCTCCCACAGGTGGCCCTGGATCAGGGCTGTTCCCAGTTCCGCCTGGCCGTCCTGGACTGGAACCAGAAAGCCATGGCCTTGTACAAGGCTCTGGGAGCCCAGGATCTGACTGAAGCTGAGGGCTGGCATGCCTTTACCTTTGACGGAGAGGCCATGAGGAAGTTGGCGGGAAAGTGAGGCCGTTCCTTGCGGATCTCCGTAGTGGACCATCTCCTTCCCCCGCTGCTCAAGCACTCCGCAGAGACACTTGTGTCCCCTGGCGCTGGCCTCTGAAGGAAGAGAGGTTGGGAGTAACTATACCCAAAATATGGACATAGCAGAATTGGGGGAGAGGCCGTCCCACCTCCTTGCTGAGGGTGAGAAATAAAGGAGAATTACTGCGAGTGCGTGACTCGATAAGTTCAGCCATCCCGAGACCTTTCTGGAATGTTCTGGTCTCCTGGTGAGTCGGGCGGGGGCGTGGGGGGGATGTGGCTTCTGGCCCCAAAGGTGGGCCCAAGACCATGTTCACCCTCAGAGGGCCAGAGTGTTGGCTATAGTGTATAGAGACGAGAAGAGCAAGGAGTCAGCTTGGGACATCAGGCTGGTGGGTCTCCTTTTGGGACCCAGACAGAGGCCTCCAGTGTCTGGAATGCAAGGTGCAGGACCCCAGACTGAGGCCCGCCCACTGGCTCAACACCAGGAGCAGGCCGCCCCCTGCTGGTGGAGTCCCGACGGTGCTGGGAAGGGACACTTGCCTCAACTCCCCCGCCCCCCCCCATAAACTCAGTTCAGCTCACCAGCGCTTTTCCTTTTTCAAAAGTCACAAAGTCCTTATTTTCAGTTCAGCAAACCCAAAACAGAACGTTAGACCCACGGAGCGAAGAAGGGAGACAAGCTCCTGTCCTACTTTCATAATATTTTATTACACAGCTGCTGTGGGTTTCTGGTAGGAACATTGGAATGGACATGTAACATCAAAATAGAATCCATAGCCTTAGTTCTCTAACTGCTATTAACCCTTTGGTATCAATTTTTCAGATTGTTTTCAATGTCCATATATGCACATCATTAGCTAAGTGAGTACAAATGGGATCATATACTTTTTTTTTTTTTTTTTTTTTTTAGTGAGCTCTACACCCAGCATGGGGCTCAAACTCACGACCCCGAAATCAAGAGACATGTGCTCTACCGTCTGAGTCACCCAGGCACCCCAGGATTTATATCTTTTACGTATGATCAATTTATCTAGTGATGCCTTTCTTAAACTTAAATTGCATCAGAATGTATTATTTCCAGAAAAACGCACGAACAAGCTGAGGGAATGTAGTCACCTTTGAGGAGAGGATCTGAGGGGCCAGGGGACAGCTTTTCCCACTTAGCTCTTTGAATCTTCTGAATTTTGTGCCATGCCCATGTATCACGTCTTCAAAAAAACAAAAACACAACAGAATAGAATACTTTAAACTTTAAAAGTTAATGCAGAAGAATAGGGCATAAAGTGGGAAGCAATATTGCCAAATTTTATCTTGCCCCATCTTGTTTTGCCTTGGCTTTTGGAGTTTATGGTTTCCATGCATTACTCTCTTGTCTCGCCCCTCCCCACCCCATCTTGGCCAGTTTTCACCCGATGTCCCCAGTCCAGCTCACTCGTTCTCAGCCAGTATCGCCTTGGGTTCCTGCCCACTTACCACCTCATTAGCTTTCTGCCAGCTGATTCTATTAGATGTTGGGCCTGATCCTTATGAGGTGATAAGGACTTGGGTTCTGGCCTTGGCAGCTAGAACAAAGGGGAGGGCGCTGAGGCGGAGGGCTTTTTAGAGGGAACATGGAGGGGCACCTGGGTGGCTCATCCAGTTAAGCATCTGACTCTTGGTTCTGGCTGGCTGGGGCACTGCGCTCAGCAAGGAGTCTGGCTTGAGATGCTCTCTCCCTCGGTGGCCCCCCACCCCACGCAACTCTAGCTCTCTCTTAAATAAATCAAATGTTTATTTTTTTAACGTATTTATTTATTTATTTATTTGTAAAAGATTTTATTTATTTATTTGACAGACAGAGATCACAAGTAGGCAGAGAGGCAGGCAGAGAGAGAGGGGGGAAGCAGGCTATCCGCCGAGCAGAGAGCCTGATGCAGGGCTCGATCCCAGGACCCTGGGATCCTGACCTGAGCCGAAGGCAGAGGCTTTAACCCACTGAGCCACCCAGGCGCCCCTTAACGTATTTTTTTTAAAAAGATCTTATTTATTAAGAGTCCGCATAGGGGCACCTGGGTGGCTCAGTGGGTTAAAGCCTCTGCATTTGGCTCAGGTCATGATCCCAGGGTCCTGGGAAGGAGCCCCCCATCGGGCTCTCTGCTCAGCGGGAAGCCTGCTTCCTCCTGTCTCTCTGCCTGCCTCTCTGCCTACTTGCGATCTCTATCTGTCAAATATATAAATAAAATCTTTAAAAAAAAAAAAAAAAGAGTCCGAATACACACAAGAGAGAGAGGGAAAGATAGAGCAGGTGCATGTAGGCATAAGCAGGGGGAGGGGCAGAAGAGGGAGAGGGAGAAGCAGGCTCCCTGCCAAGCAGGGAGCCCAACCAGGGGCTCCATCCCAGGACCTTGGGATCATGACCTGAGCCAAAGGCAAATGCTTAACCCACTGTGCCACCCAGGTGCCCCAATAAATAACATATTTAAAAATAAAATAGGGGCCCCTGGGTGGCTCAGTGGGTTAAAGCCTCTGCCTTTGGCTCAGGTCATGATCCCAGGGTCCTGGGATTGAGGCCCACATCAGGCTCTCCGCTCAACGGGGAGCCTGCTTCCCCCTCTCTCTCTGCCTGCCTCTCTGCCTACTTGTGATCTCTGTCTGTCAAGTAAATAAATCTTAAAAATAAATAAATAAAAATAAAGGGAGCACTGAGGGTGGGGTACTCGGCTGGCTTAGTCGGTGGTGCGTATAATTCTCGAGCTCAGGGTTGTGAGTTCCAGCCCCACACAGGGTGTAGAGATTACTTAAAAAAATAAAATCTTTTTTAAAAAGGGGGGAGCATAGAGAAAGCGTAACTAAAACGTCTTTCAAATCCATCCACATCCCTATGTCCCCTTCCACTATCATCTTTGCAAATTGCCGTAGTGTCTTAACTGACCTCCTCCAGTAACTGCCCCCTTCCATGAGGTTATCAGTACTTTTTTTCCTATCCTAGATACACATTATATTACATGAACAATCAAATACTTCTGTGAGGCTAATAGAAAAAACATCAGTCTTGCAACTCCCTAAGTTTTTAAAGACAATCACTTTCAACTGAATGTTTGAATGGTGTTACTATGTTTTGTCTTAGATTCATCTGTGTATCTCACACTAAAAATAGCATGCCAATGTTGCTACTTCTCCTGCTTCTGTTTCAGACATTAGCTATTGACTTCCCACTGCTAACTCTTTTCCACTCCCACCGTCACCCCACCCCCATTTCCGATCATCCCACGCTTCCAATATTATATCATAATTCCGGCTGGATCTGTTTAGTGTTCATGTATTATGACGATGCAAATGCTCTTTACAAGTTGTGCCCTATGGATAGCTTTTTTTTTTTTAAATGATTTTTATTTATTTATTTTAGAGAGTGAGAGAGGGGGGAGCAGGGGGAGGGGCAGAGGGAGAGAGAATTTCAAGTTGACTCCATGCTGAGCACAGAGCCTGACCTGAGATCATGACCTGCGCTGAAATCGAGAGTTGGATACTTAACAGCATGAGCCATCCAGGTGCCCTGCCATGTGGAGAGATGTAGTTGTCTATCTTTCCCAAACCATTTGTGTTTTTTCTGGAGTTAATAGTTGCTTTGTCCTTTTGTTTGGTTCGTTTTCTGTGTACTCTAACTTATCCCCAAATTCTCCTTTAGTTGTGTTAATGAGTTCTTTTTTCAAAGATTTTTATTTATTGACAGAGAGAGATCACAAGTAGGCAGAGAGCGAGAGAGAGAGGGGAAGCAGGCTCCCTGCCGAGCAGAGAGCCTGATGCTGTGGGACTCGATCCTAGGACCCTGAAATCATGACCTGAGCCGAAGGCAGAGGCCTAACCCACTGAGCCACCCAGGAGCCCTGAGTTAATGAGTTCTAAGGATATACAAACAAGTAAGGAATTTTCTCTTCTGTTTGAGAATTTTCTCACAGAGCCTTTAGACCTGTTCTAGCCGCGAAAGGCTGGTTTTCGGTCCACACTGCTGGATCTCCCTCCACACCCATCTTGGGATTCCCTTTTCGCCTCTTGGATTAATCTCCTGTTTCCTGCAACCTATCTCCAACCTATCTCTTTATCTTTTTCAGTTTATTTTGATGGAGCTTCTTAGGAAAGGGTGCTTGGGAAATAATTTTGTTGGGACTTCGGGGCAACTGGCTGGTTCGGTGGAAAGTCATGAGACTCTTGATCTTGGGGTGTTGGGGTTGTGGGTTCAAGCCCCATGTTGGGTGTAGAGATTACTTAAATAAAAACTTTAAAAAGTTGTTGGGACCTTGTCAGTCTTGTGTTTGGGTATCAAATGCTAGGTTGGAAATAATTTGCACTAAGAATTTTGAGGGCATTTCTCCATTGTCTTCAAGCTTCTGGTGTTGCTGTTAAGAAGCCTGAAAATTTTCTTACTCTGGCAAATGAAATGTCGTATGAAGCCCATTTTCATTTTCCTTCTCTCTTTGCCCAATCACAGCTTTTAGGATCTTCTCTTTTCCTAGCCTTCTAAAATCTTACATGGGAATGTTTTAGTGGGGACTGAGTGGGTCTTTGCAACCTAGAAGCTCATCTTCTTCAGTTATAGAAAAACATCTTGTAAAAAGGCTTTACTGGGGGGGGCACAAGTGCTGAGCAGGGAGCCCTACATGGGTCTTGATCTCAGAACACTGAAATCAAGACCTGAGCCAAAGGCAGACGCTTAATGACTGAGCCACCCAGGCATCCCAAGATAAATAAAACCTTTTTTTTTTTTATAAATAAAATCTTAAAAAAATAAATGAATAAAAATAAATTAAAAAAATTAAAAAATACATGTTGTCAGGGAGCCTGGGTGGCTCAGTGGCTTAAAGCCTCCTTCTTCGGCTTGGGTCATGATCCCGGGGTCCTGGGATCGAGCCCCACATCGGGCTCTCTGCTCAGCCAGGAGCCTGCTTCTCCCTCTCTCTCTGCCTGCCTGTCTGCCTACTTGTGATCTCTGTCAAATAAATAAATAAAATCTTTAAAAAAAAATATATATATATATAGTAATTTTTTGGACTTTTTCTTCCCCTCCATGTTCCTGTTATTTCTTTCTGGAAGTTTTGTTTCTCAGATGTTTAATGCCATGGGCCAGACCTTTAATTTTCTTGCATTTTCTATCTCCTTAATTTTTTGCTCAGCTTTCTGGGAAATTGCTTTAATTTTATTTTCCA